CACCCTCTCCGACGTACTCGCCCTTCGCGTAAATCCAATCCGAGAAAAGGAACGAACGAACGAACAAACTGGAGAAAATACGTTGCATGGTAATAAAGATTTTCATCAAGAAAGGACAAAGATTATTGTGGAATTGCGTCAAGGTTGCGTTTTAGTTGCATCAGATGTAAGGAAGGAATTGACGGACAGTAGAAATAAAGTTGCATGGAAACGAAGATATTCTCGTTTGCAAGGACAAAAATTCTTGTAGAATTGCGTCAAGGTTGTGTCTCTGAATTGCATCAGAAGGAAGGAAGGAAGGAAATAACAAACGAACTAACGAACGAATAAATAAATAGTAAAATGAAAAAATAAGTTGCATGAAAACGAAAATTCTCGTTCTCACAAGGACGGGAAATACGCGTACGGTTGGGGGGGGGAATATAACGAAGTAAAAAAAGAAAAAGAAGAGAAGTTTGCACGAAAGCAAAGAGATTTTGATTCAGCACGCAGACGAAAAGGTTTGGCGTAGGAGAGAATATTTCCTTGTGAGCCAGCTGGCCGGTCAGCTGATTCGAGAATGGTGGTTGGTGTGTGTGTGTTGCAGTCCTCCGTATGGCATGCGCCGCGACGCGTCGCCCATTAGCCGCGCGAACTAAAGCCATTAAACCCCCGTCGGCTTAATAACGGCCGAACCCACCCACGGCGACCTGTTTGCAAATCCCGCGGATATTCTCTTGGCCAACTTCCTTACTACAAAACTCTTACCGCTTACGCCTCGTAATACGTGATCCGGATTTTCTATATATAGTTGCCACTTGTAGAAGTACTTGTTTACCAATTTGTCCTTTTTTATTTTTTTTTTATTATTATTATTATTATTAAATCCACTTCGTTGATTACGTCGATTCTTTGACATATTGTTGTTTTGTTAAGTACAAATTTTAGGTTACATCACGCGCTTGAATTTCTTCTTATAGTTTCTCGAAGATTCCGAGTATAGAATAAAATCTTTCTCGTGTATTTTTTTTTTATTGAAAAGATATTAAACAATTAAACGTATTACTAATGTGCAACGTTTTACGATTTACAAATCGTTTTAACTAAATGTAGGATAGAGTCCAAGTTATTTCCTTCTTTGGATCATTCTCATATCGGGAGACAGATCTTTCACGATCATGGGATAATACTGAGCGAGAAAATTGTAGAGCGTGCGCGTGCGCGTTCGCGACCTACCCGGGCCGTGCCACGAATTAATTAGTTCGACCGTGTGGTGGTGGTGGTGGTGGTGGTGGCACATCTTGAATGAGAACTGTTAGAGAAGAGAGAGAGAGTGTGGTGCTGCACGCCGCTCACGCCAAGTTTATCGCACGCTGCTTGCTTGCTACTTTGGACGTGTCTCACGTTAAATTACGTTGTCGTCGAGGATATTAACGCGATTTTATTTTATCGTAAATATCTGCACGCGTATACCCATCGCATAAACACTTACCACGCAAATATTATTCGGATCGTATAAAAATCAAGGAATAAAAAAACAAAGAAGAAAAAATTAATTTTAAGAAACACACATTTGTTTCTTTATTCTTCTTTTTGCAAATTTTTTCTTTAAGACAATAAAGATATAAATAAAGCAAAAAAAAAATAAATTTTGTTTAGGTTTACACGAATTCGTCGTTTTGGTACTTTAAACATCTACTCGTGGAAATTTCTTATGTTAAATTGCCGGAACAAATCGGACACACGTTAGACCATGTTTTCTCTCGACGGATCGTGTTCCTTCGCCGAAAATTTGTCCGTCTCGCTTTCACTAGCCCCTACGTAAAGCATGCACAACAGTGGGTTACCCTTGCAACCCTTAAACCCGATCCACCCCTGCTGAATTCACCCTATAACATGCGCACGTGTTCACCTAAAACGCGCTTGTCTCTGTATACGTTTACTACTACGTTCGCGTATTTCTCTTAGTATGTCTCTTTGTGTCTGTTTTTCTGTTATCTCGTGTATGTATGTGTGCACGTATATATATATATATATATATATATATATATATTCGCGTCGTTGAATCTCCGGAGACGAGTAAGGCCAAGTTCCTCTTAACGTGATCGATCTCAGAAATACGAAATTCTTTTCTTACAAGAGAAGAAAAATCACGTGAAACTGAACCTCTTTGTCTTTTTTCTTTTTTTTTTTCTTTTTTTTTTTTCTAATTCTCATGTAATTATGATCAACACAAAAAAAAAGAAGTTGTTTTTTTAAATTTATCCTCGATCATAATTGTCAAGTTATCCATTTCTTTTTTTTTAACAACGTATATGCACGAACGTAGAATGAAAAGTTGTGAATCTCATTACACAACCAATTAATATTTTTTTGTTCATTTTCTTTTCTTTTATTAATATAAAAGTGAGTTGAACCGAAAAGAAAAAAAAATACAAAGTTCCTATGTTAACTTCAAAACTTTTCATCCTGTCCACTTACACATGCGCTTTCTTTATGATATATACTTATACTTTTTAAATAAATAATTAACATTCGAAAAATAATATTTTCTTTCGTTTGAAATATTGATCGAAAATATTAATAATAGAATAAAATATATAAATGTGATATCAAATTGAAATTGTCTTCTATTAATTTATTTTACATTCGATAACAACTAATTCATCAATCATTTTTCTCTCTCTTTTTTTTTTTTCTTTTTGTTTTTTTTTTCTTTTTATAGAAAGACATAACGTTGACAATTAGAGTCTGATAACAATTAATTACGTCTATTTAAAGATCAACTATTGATATTGTAAAGGATAACTGTGTACTAAGCTTATACGTTAAAAAGAAAGATTAAAGTTGTATCGTTAATCGTTAGTCGTAATTGCTTCGAGTCGGTCGTTAATCAGCCATTAATGCCGGGTAATTAGTACAATCGTTAAGACTCGCTTTGGAATTGCTTGCGAATTTCTAGTGTTTATATCGAAGTCAAGTATAAAAAAAAAAAAAAAAAAAAAGAAAGAAAGAGTTGGGAGGGGGCAAAGATAGAGAAAGAGAAATAACGAAAGATTTGATTTATCAAAACAAAAATTAGAAAAATTTGTTTCGAAATTCTTTCTTTTATTCCATTTATTTATCTTTTATCAATGAGAACATTAGATACTTTATAACAAACTAAACATTGATATTAGACATTGACATTAATTATTATCGTTTGCGTGACCATTCATTATTTCTATTCTCATAAATTTCTTAATAAAATTGACGCTCTTTGTAATATTAAAAAGAGATGTTCCACGTTTTGTAATATGTCATTCTAATAAATTGAAAAGTTAATAGTTAATTTCTTAAAAGTTTAAATTTACGATTTAATCGTACGATATAATATAATATTCAATGTAAAATGCATACTACTATATTACTAATCGTAATAAGGTTACTTTTTTCTCGTCTTTCCTTTTTTTTTTTTCTTCTTATCTATTTTGTAAGAAGAAAATAAACAAAAAAGATATGGTATTTTTTTTTCTCCAAGGGAAAAAGGGAGGAAAAGAAAAGGGTGTTATATAAATATTCTATATACCGGAACCTCGCCGAGGTCAACCACGAAACAGAGAAAAGACTTTCAGAAATATATAGAAAATCCGCTTCTTCTACGACGAGAAGATCAATATCAAGCTGTGTTCGATCGATTTATTCGTTCCCTCGAATGCGACTTTTTTTTTTTTTTTATTTCTTTTTTGTTTTTTTTTCTCCAATTTTCCTCCCCTCTATTTTATATTAAACATCTTCTATATTAGTAATTAATTTTTATATCAATCATTTATTTTTCTATTATTTAGAATTATTTTGTCATTACTAATTAAGTGATATGTATTATGTTTATTATACAGGACGTATCTGGTACAATTGTGTTGGGGAAGGAATGATTTTACACGTAAAAATATGTCGAACGAAAAAATTAATATTTCGATTTTTTAGAATTTCGATTTTTCTTCTATTTTCGAGACAGTCGTATTTAAACAATTTTAAAAAAACGCGTAGAACTAATAGATAATTTATTTTGTTTACATTTATATATATACGGCCTTCAGCCGTGTTTCTTTTATTTTAGTTTATTTTTAACCATCGAACTATAAACAATGATGTTACAATTAACAGCTTTATATCACAGAGATAACGATTTTCAAATAATTTCCATTCATATAGAAACATTATACAGAGGATAGTTCACAGATTAATAATGTACCGATAATTATGACTATGAACTATATCAAAAAAACTTATCTAAATTAATTCGATGACAATCTATTTTAATATAAATATATATATATATCTATAAATAAATCATAATATTCATATTTCCAATTTTTCATTTAATCAACTGTCATAATTATCGGCACAATTAATTACGATTTCTTTTACGAATATCATAAATCTGATGATAAGAAAAAAAAAACCCTTTAATATAGAATCATCCGATTTTCTCGAAAAAAAAAAAAAACAAAGCAAAGAAAAAAGCAAACAACGGAACTTCAAACGAACAAATGTTTCTCGCTTTTTTTCGACTTATTTTTACACGTAAAATGTTCGTACGTTCCAGATACATCCTGTTTTATTAAATTCAATATTTATATGTTAAAAATATTTGTAAAAATGTATGTGTACACATGTGTGTCGGTCGTATTGTCCATGAAAGAACGTAATAAAAAAAAAAAAAAAACAAAGAAATTTCTCTTAAAAAATAATCGTTGATCCATGACAAAAAATGAGAAGATAAATTTTTCTTTTTTTTTTTCTTTTTTATTTAGAATATAATCCTTGCAATTGTAAATTAATCAAATTGAAATAATATAAATAATAATACAGTAACGCGTTAGAGAATTGATTAGAAATCTTTGGGACAATCTTTCTTTGTATTCAAATATCGCGCCAATTTGAAATTCGCGATTTCGTGTTTCACGCGACACACGACTCACACAAGGAACACACTATACACAGCACACCTAACATGACCGATCGGTCTGATCTGACAGATCGTTGCCTGTCCCCAGGAGGCATACTCCGTACTTCGGACAACCGGACTACAGGCTCTACGAACTGAACAAGAGGTTACAGCAGCGCAATGACGTGAGTATTCACTCTTTCTTTATGTATAATCGTTTTATTATATTCAATTATAAGATAAGAAATGATTCTTATTTTTTTGTTTAAATAGTACTTCATTCACTTTCTTTAATTATTCAGCATTTATTTGCTCGTCCATGATAAATAAAATTGAGTCATTTAAACTTGAAGTTTTTAATAAGATTGATAATTAAACATTTCAATAGCTTCGTTGTTTATTCATTCATCTTTATATAATTTAAGTTTTAAATATTAAATTATTATTAATTCATTATTAAATTTTGTGTGTGTGTGTGAACAACTCTTCTTTTTTTTTTATTTCTCGAATAAGAAGATTGCGTTCGATTTAATGTAAATTTCGTCAATCGCCATGCATCTACTATCATGGGGAAAAATAATTAAACTTACTTAACTTTTAAAAAATGTTCGGACTAAAATAATGGAGAAAGTTTTACGAATAAAGTTTTTAGATCGATCTGTACAAATTAGAAATAAGGGATAATGGATACATAATTCCAAAAAAAAAGAAAACAAACAAACAAAATTCATTAAAAAATAAAGACGACACGACGAATTATCTTTACATTAATAAAATTCTTAACTGTGTTTGCTTAAACAGTTACTTTTTTCAATGTCAATTTTTCATACACTTATTGTATGTAGTCTCGGCCTTCCTCCCACCACCCTTTTTCACCTCCTGCTACTCTAATACCCCTCCTTATCCACCCTTCCATCCCTTCTCTTTCATTCTTTCTTTCTCTTTTATATTCTCTTTCCTTTTTCACACTGATTCGACACGCTGAAACTCGGTTATTCGAGTCACGCGCGTTTACCCCGGTACATTATAAAATTATCTGGCCCATATACCCGCCGATAGATAAACTCGTCGCTTCTGAGAGATTCTCGATAATAGCGATAAGATACGATCCACATTATTGTTCGCGCACATGTCGCGTTCTTCGCGCTTCGGTGCCTCTCTGAACTTTCTCGTCGAGGGATTAAAACGGGATATGCCTGCTTGACTCCTCCTCCTCCTCCTCCTCCTCCTCCTCCTCCTCCTCGAATAAGATTCCTTTTTAATCTGATCAAATCGTACACACATACGTATATAAATAATTAAATATATGTATATATATGTATATTTTTACATATTTGGGTCTTTATATATGGGGAATTCCACGTCAAATCGACCACTTTTAACCCCGAACCCTTTCGATTTGGTTCAAACTTTATTATCATTTTCTATCCCCATTAAAAAAACCTCTCTGAGAATTTTTAAAAATTTTAATTTACCTTAACCAATAAAAGTTGCATTTTTTCTCCCCCCCCCCCCAAAAAATGGATTTTTTTTTGCTTCTTCAAGTAACCGTAACTTTGTCAAAAATTGACTTATGTAGCTTTGTTGTAGTTTTCAATTGGCGAAAAATTCATCGTTATGGTTGCATAACGTGTTTGTTAATACATAATACATAATATATTGTATATATATATGTTAATAAATATATCAAATATTATGAATTTCAAAATATAATTTTATAGTTTACTTTTATGTGTATGTATATTTGAGAATTTCAACGTAAATTTTTTGGATATCATTTTTCAAATTATTTAATCTACATGTATACCAATTCATTCATTCAATTAACAAAATTTTCCTCGGTATTTTGCATTAATAATAATAATAATAATAATAATAATAATAATAATAATCGAGGGCAAAGATAAATTTTCACGTAAAATAGTTTCCTTCTACGTTGTACAAAATTCGATGAATCGTTCGAGAATTGTTTCGAGCATATACGTTTCACGTCCTATATTATACTTCGTTAAAGTCGAGTAATTTTAATCGGGGAAGGATTTAAAAAGAAGAAGAAAAATAGAAGTAAAGAATTATTTGATACGCGCGAGAGAAGTATAGTTAGTCGATGTCCGTTATATTTAAAAGTTAACTTTTATTTTTCCTAAGAATAATTGCTACTTTTATTTCCTTATTTTCTTCTTTTTTTTTTTTTTTTTTTTTTTTTTTTTTTTTTTTTGTAAATCACTTTTATTCTTTTCTAACGCGTTGATTATCTTTCAAAGAGGTAGAAATTGAATTAAAATTTTTGTAAGTTTTGTTTTAAATAATTAACGGAAAATTAATTTACAATCAATGATAACAAAGTTGACATTTTCTATTAAATTACTTTTTTATTTTTCATTAATTTCATGTTTATCTTGTTGTTACGTAAGAATGATCTTTCTTTCTTTTTTCCTCTGGACAGATTTAAAAATATTTTCATTTCTCATTTTGTGTTAATACAACAGGTATGACGAATTACGACTTACATTTGAGAATGTCTTACGTTATTTCGATAAGCTCGAGAGTTCGCGTATGTTTCGAAAGTATATCTTTATCTTTCGTTCGTGATAATGCTAACAGATATGTTCGTATATTACCTACTTTCAATTTTTATTTATTAATCTTTTTATTTTCTTTTTTTTTTTTTCTTTTTACATGAACTTCGATATCTAAATAAACGTCAATGAATGGGATGCAATGATTAATAAAAAAATATTTCTTCCTATAAAATTATATTTATATTATAATTAATATATGTGAAGTAATTCTTCTCTTATTAATAATTTATTTTAAAAAATCATTGTGCGTATAACATTAATAATTGTCGATGATGAATATATTATTATTATCATTATTGTAATTAGAAATATTAAATGTTTTGCCTCTGGTGGTCGATTACTATAACGCGAATAATAAAAGTATCTCCCCCCGATGTTATAAATAATAATAACAATATTTAATATTATTTAATCATTTTCGCGTTGAGATTACAAAAATAAAGAAAGTTCTGTTCTGCGCGTTGTGTCTTTTTTTTATAATTCGATAAAGTTTCTTAATTTTTCGAAGATTTACATACTTGTATTTATATTCGGTCAATATTTTGTGAAAAAAATGATCAATGTATGTATGAAATTTGTTATTAAATATAAATCAAAGCTTTTCAAAGTGTTCATATTTAACTAAACAATTTTAACAATAATCTAGTATAATATTGACTAGATTAACACGTTTGTCGCTCAAACTTTTTGTCGGAACATATTCAAACATACAATATTCAACTAAATGTGGATAACGAGGGGGCTGGGGGTAATATTAATTATATCAAACGTTTATATTTAATTCCTAAAACTTCGATTTAAATATAAATAAAAAAGTTATTTTTTATTATATATATAATAGAAAAAAATTAAATGATCGACTTTAAAAGGGTAGTGGTACGTTCGAAGAATAAAATTTATCTAAAAAAGAAAAAAAGAAACAAAAACAAACAACTAATCGATTATTTCATTTGATGTCAATCAGCTTTCGTTAGAAAAGTCTAGTCGAAATCTCGAAAGAAGAACTTTCGAGCAACCCCCGACGAGTTGAAGGCTATTCGTAGGCAGGCAAGCAAGCAAGCACCCACCCCTTACTCACAGGGAGTCTAACAAACGACGTGGCGTGTCCCACGCTCGTAAATCATCTTTTCCTCCTCCTATCGTCAGAGATCTCGTTCGTTGTCAGCGTGCATGTGCACGGTCACCAACGTGCATCTCTCCTTCGCGTTACTTCCTCTTTTTTCTCTTTCTCTTTCTTTATTTCTTTCTTTCTCGCGAAATCTCTGATTTCTCTTGTTCTTTATTTTTTTCTTTTTTTTTTCACAATTTTATAGTAGAATTTAGATTGGGATCATTCAATCTTGACTTATGGAGAGAGCTCGTTAAACTTATAATTTTATTATTTATGCATATAAAAAAAAAACAAAGTAAATCGTGTTGCGCGTGATATTTTATTAATATTATATATGTTGTTTTTTTACTTTTTTTTTTCTTCCTGCTATTTTATAGTAAAATTTAGATTGCCATTATTCAATCTTAAGAGCTCGTTAACCCTGTAATTTAATTGGTTTTTTTTTTTTTTTTAATATATAAAAAGAAGGAAACCATATAATATGTAAATTATTATTATTATTATATATATTTAAAAAATATTATGAATGATAGTATATATTATGCAAATTGTATAAAGGATGATTTAGGTACTCTACAAGAAACTTTGATGAACGATAATTCTTCCATAAAAAGAAACTTTTTTTTGTTAAGCAATTCTTGTTTGTTTCCTACTTGTTCAGTTTATTTACTATGCGATTACGATTATATCAGATGACATTTATTAGAATTAATAATGAATTCATTTACGTAGATAATATAGATTAGGACATTTTTAAATTGTCATGGAAATTTGTGGAAACTTTAGAATAATAGTTTCTTTGCACTCGTTCATCCCTTACGAAACAGAACAGTAGGAGTTCGGTATTAAAGTGATAAATTTGAAGTTTCGAACGCATCGTTTAAGATCGAGTTAGACTAAGCTCCGAAGAGCTTACATGACAATCGGATAAAATCTTAAGGATCAATGGGAAATTTGTGTGTTTCTGGTCAAAACCAAGAACGGTTCGTATATGTTTCTGATTTCGATCGAACAAGCTTCATTTTGAATGTTTTGAAAACATTTCCTTTTTAACACATTAAACGTATAATTTCATTCTTGATATATTTGATATATTCGATGAAGTTAATAATTATTTCGAAATAATTTCAATTTGAATAATATTATTATGTAGATTATTCTTTCTATTAAATATTATTTGTGCGAAATAATATATTTTGTATAATAAAGTTTGCCGTGTAAAGATATGAATATTACAGAAAAAGTAAAATATAAATTTCACATATTTGCGCAAACCTACTACAGTCTACTAAAGTACAAAAAAAAAACTAAACTAAATGTTATAAGTTATCGGCGTCGTTTTAACCGTGTGATCCAAACAAATCAGAATTTGTTTCTTTTTTCTTTTTGTTCAAATTGGCATAAACTATAATTAAGAATTGACTTTAAATAAAGTTATCTTTGGTGCACAGTTAGTTCATTAAAAATTATGTACAAGAAAAAAACGCATATT